AATTGCTGCTTTGGGACTGGGGAGATGGCTCAGTGGAATAAGTGCTTCCTTGGAAAGCACAAGGGCCTGAGTTCAATCCCTGATTCCACAAACAAACAAACAAACAAACAAAAAACCAATTGCTGCTTTGTCCCCCAGCACCTTGCGCCCCCCCCCCATCTCAGGAATGTTTTTCCTTTGCTGACCCTGATTTATTCCTCGAGATTCATCTTTTTCCTCAGTACCCTTGCTGCCCTTGTTAATTATTTGCTATGTAAAATTTCATAATGTTCAGGTTTTTGCTTTTTAGTCATTGGAACTGATACAAGCAGAACCATAACCCAGAACACACATGCTTTTCAAGTACATGTCACTATAGATGCAGGCCGCCCTTTGTGGTGACAGCGTGTGAGCAACAGGCTGGCTTCAGGACTCTGAGCCAGATTCCGGACTCACAGGCCTCTGCAGCATGAGTCCACCTCATTTAGGACGAGACCTGGGTCTCCCAGCTCCCTGGAGAGCAGGGCACCTGATGAAGGCCCTCTGAGCCTCTCTTCAGAGGAAACCAAGCTTCGTGCTCCCACCCTCTAGCTTTCCAGTGAAGAAATTGGGCTCTACAAAATCAGATAATGTCCTCAAAGCCACCCAGCTCCGAGTCTGTGGGTACCCAGGGTGCTGGTCTCTGCTGAATGTGACTGGAGGTATCTGATGCACATTTCCCACTAACCTATAGCCTGAGTCTTTGGCACAGGCAGGAAGAGCTGCCCTCTGCCCTGTCAGAAGATGCAGAGTGTTTGTGAATGTTCACTCAGAGCTCCTTACGGGACAGGGGAGTGCTCTCCCCCTCGCTTGGGATCAGCGGTTAGGGAACATCCCGCTGTTAGTGAGCCCTCGCTGGGCTCCAGGCAGCGCTCTGGCTGGAGAGGCCTCAGAGCTGTTTAGCATGAGTGAGGCCTAGCAGTCAATCCCCAGCACCAGAGAAGAAAAGATGAAGCGCCAAGCCATCCTGTAAGGTGCCATTTTCCATTCTTAGAGTAGGAGGGTGGTGCCAGGCAGGGGACTCCCAGGGGTGCCCAGAGGACCAACTCAGTGTTCCATTGGGCACATGGAGAAATGAGGCTCAGTGAGATTGATTAGCATTCCTGACGGCTAGCAGGTGGGGGCATGTGGGAGCAGGTGTCCCTGGACTCTGCATGCTCCACTGCCCGAGGGACTTAAGGTCTGAAGTGTGAAAGTGCAGAGGAGACAATGCGGGAGCAGGGAGTGGTCTTCCTAGAGGGGCCCCATTCACTGTCCCAGCTCTGCTCAGTCAGACTCAGTGCTGTTGGCCATCCTGCAGGTCCAGAGAGGAATCATGCACCTGCATAGCAACTGCCCTACTTCTGAGTCCTTCTGCTGAGCTACACTTCCCCGAGTCCCCCTCTGTCTCCCTGCTGCCTCCCCAGATACTCAGTGGGCAACACCCAGTAGTGCAGCCCCACACGTGGAAAGAATGCAGCACATCTCTGGACACAGTGTAGTGGCGTGGGCTGTTGGGATCTTTGAAATGCGCACAGAGACAGGGGTTTGATACCCAGTATGCTGTGCCGGCCCAGCCCCTGGGGCACGCTGAGACTTGAGACTGGGCATGGTTGTGCATGTCTGCAATCCCAGTGCTTGGGAGGCTGAAAGCAGGAGGATCACTACAAGTCTGATCTGTGTAGTGAGACCCTGTAGACCTTGTACTAAATACATTAAAAACAGAAAGAAATGAGCAAATGGTCTATGCACACACTAGTGGTTGTTTATTAGATAAGGTCTGACAAAAAAATACAGCGAATGTGTACATTTAAAAATAATATCACAGTAGATGACACATTGCCAACGCACTCCCCTTTACTTCAGACGAAGGTATCCCACCATTCTTGCCACTTGCTGAAGCAGTTCTGGAAGTCCCCTTTCTGGAATGTATTTAGTCGTACAGCTGTGGCTTGCTCCTGTCCCAAATGCATTCAAAACACTCAGCTTTTGCGGTCATTCTGACTTTGTAGCAGAGTTGAAATCACATAGCACCAGATAGTGTGAGTACTGTTTGGTTCATGAGGCCATAACCTATGGTTAGCAGGTTTCTTTTCTTCTCAATGTCTCAGCAGTGGCCTTTACTGCAGTTGTGACCACGCCGCATGAAGACACTAGCAAAAAGGACTTGTGAAGCGGCTTCAGAATGGGCGTGAAAGACGGGATATGCATGTGCAAGCAAGGCTCTATATTTTGAAGGGAATAGCGGCAATGAGTCTTCTGCTGTAATAGATGGTTTTTCCTTAAACATTCACTGCATACAGTTGTAACTCAGCTCACAGGCCTAATTCTTCCCATCCTTCTGGTTACAATGAAATTGCAAGCATATACAAAACCAGAACTGTGGAAAAAGTTGTTAGTGGGCTGAGGTATCACTGTGCTGCAATTGCACATCCTGTGTCAGGGACTATATGAAGAGTTTTTCATCATAGTGTTTAATTTTTACAGCACTTCTATGAGGCACCTTCTAAAACAATCAAGGGCACAGAGATGGCGGGCAACCTGTGTAAGGTCACAGAGCAAAAGCACATTGCTCTATTTTGTGCCAACCACCTCCTTTTCTGACCATTCTTACTTGGGATTTGGCATGGAGCAGTGTCTCAAAAGTAGGTGTTGATTGGATAAATGATCTCTTTGAACAGAATTTAGCAGAAGAGGCTTTGATCATTATGATGTGAACCCTACTAGTTCTGTTCTTATCCTTCATGAGAGTAGGTGAGAGTGCTAGAGACAGAGAGGCACTTTTCCTAAGTCTATGGGTCAGGTACTAGCACACCAACCCTCACCTGGCTTCCCTGCACAGTGCTGGACACTTTCCCAGGGTCCCAAGTTTCACAGTCACAGGGTCACAAGTCAGTACTGTATCACACTGTCAGCGTCCAGATCAGGGATTGTCCCCAGGGTTCTCTAAGGATCTGGTCTGCAGTACCCATCCGCTCTCTGGACTAGCTCAGCCTGTGCAACTTTGTCAAGGCATCCAGGATGGGCCACAGGGGTGCTGTTACTGGTGGGGAATAGTTCCCCAGAATAGACTGGCTTTCTGTGTTTTCTGCCGCCTGCTGTGTGGTGCATATTCAGTGTCCCATATAATGTTGGCAACCCTGTTTTTTAGGCATTTTTACTTTCTTTCTACAAACAAGCACTTTGGCAGACATTCATGACTAAGCAGATTTAAGCCCATTCCTTGACCTTACCACGTGTGTAGGTCCAAAGCCCATGACAGTTTTTCATTCACAATGGCTCTCAGGTCCTCTCTTAAGGAAAAGCAGAACAAAATAGAAGTGCTTCATGACTGCTGTGCCATGGAGACAGCTTCCTTTTTCTCATGTGTCCTTCTTTCAATTTGGGCAACTTCAGCATTGTAGCTGCTGTACTAGAATCCAGATGAGACCCAGATGAAAGACAAAGCTGAGGATGCAGGAAGGAAAGCCCTAACTTGAGTTTTACTGAAGAGCTGGGGCGCCATTTGAGCTTCAGGGACACCCAGACCGCTGTGCAGTGGACAGCGGGGACACCTGCCCTGTGTCTTATGCTGGACTGTGATCCATGGTGTTCTCGGTTATCCTCTTTCCTGGAAAAGGAGTTAATACTGTGTGCTTCATGCCATTTGCTTATTTTTCCCCTGGATTTATAACAGCTGATCACAATGTGTATCTAAATCTAAAAACTCACAGTAATAACCTACTGCCATTAATCTCTCAAAACACTCCCTTGACCATACTTACTGTGTTCTGCTTGCCACTCTGAAGCAGTTTCGCAGGTCCTCTTCCAGGAGTGCCTTTATGAGGAAAGGCTACAAGTATGGTGAATGCTGAGGCCGAGCTCCGTCCAACAGAAAGCAGGCTCATAAAAACTTTAAGGTGACCCGCAGGCAACCCAGATGCCCATCAACTAAAGAATGGATAAGGAAGATGTGGTATTTTTACACACTGGAGTATTATTCAGTCATAAAACAGGATAAATTTGAGTCCTTGGTTGGTAAATGAATGCAACTAGAGAACATACTCTTAAGTGGAATAAATCAGACCCGCATGTGCAAACATCATACTGCTCCATAGTGTGAGAACCTGAAAGGAAAAATGGAGTCTGAAGGGTACAGTAGACACTGGGGAAAGAGAATGAACTTATTCAGAAGGAAAGAGTTGCTGAGTTGAGGAGAAGGACAGGAGAGGGAGTGGGAGAGATTTATCTGTGTATCTAAGCAGGTGGTTTGGACAACTGTGCTGTGCATTTCTGCTAGTCTGTGGAAAGGAGCAGTTAATGCATTAATTCATTTTGTCAACTTTTTTCAATTGTTCTCTTCTTAATTTCTTATACATTTCTTTCTTTTTTCTTATTCCAACTTTACATGCAAGTATCTGGTAATATGAAAAACTGGTTGGAAGGCAACACTAGGTACTACAACAAATACTGTGAAATTCATATTACTTTAAGGTAAATTCTGTATCACTTGTAATTTTTTGTTTTAATTCTAATTTGTACTGTTTTTTAAAAATAAAGAAAAAAATTAAAAAAAGAAAAACTCTTAATGTGAGTCCTTATCCACTTCAGCAGACCTGGCACTGTAACCTTTGGTTCTCACCTGTGGTCAGAATGACCATGAAAACTAAGCATTTGAGCTGGTTCAAGAGTTCTAGGTCCCTGCAACCTTTCTAGTAAAATCACTCACAAACAAGGACTTCTAGAATTGCATCAGAAAATGGTGGGAATGAGGGAATAACTGCATCTGAAAGAGTTTAAGAGGGATTTGTGGCAATATGTCTTGTACCATAATAATTTTTAAATATTTAAACCTTCACTGTATTCTTCCTTCCCATTGCGAATAATTGAACTGCTCCATCAATCCCATCATCCCCTGGGACAGGGAGAGGAAGCTACTTTCACAGAAGGAATTTGCTGCTCCTTCGTCTCACTTACATACGTCTCCTCTACCCAAGTCATACCCCCTTCTTCTCTTTGCACAGGTTTTGACCTGATGGACCTGTTCAGTGTAAAGGAAATCCTGGGGAAGAGAGAGAATGGAGCCCAGAGCTCCTATGTGCGGATGGGCTCCTTTCCTGTGGTGCAGAGGACTGAGTGAGTGGTTGCTTCTGTTCCGGGTCCTCTCTGAATGCCTTGGGACGGGGCAGGCAGGGGCTGTCAGGCGCTGAGCTGGGGCGCACCCCACTGAGCAGGACCTGGGGAGGTCACAGGCAAGGAAAGCAACTGGGCCAGTGACTGGGGATCCATTCTGTTTCTATACAGTTTATTATCACTGACTGCAGTGATTCTTTGGCCCTTCTACCCTCACCTTTCCGTACATGTTTAGCATCAGTCATTCCTTTAGACATGTGCTTTTCTAGAGTCCACTGTACACCGACCATTTATGGTTGCAGACACATGCACCTATTAGAGATTGGCCACAGAACCTCCTAGAATCAAGTAGGGTTTGGGCCAGAGAAGACTATCTTGGAGCTGATTGGGGGCTGATGTGAACCTGTTATCTACAGCTTAGTTGCCTCCTGTTTTCCATCTGAGCTGGGTGTCCTGCCTTGCACCTTAGCTAAGAGGATCTGCAACAAAGGTTTTCCAGTGTCTGTTACCCGACTGTGTCTCCAGTCAAGGGGTAATGAGCTAAACAAGTGCTCTGATTTCTTTCTCACAGTTCAGCCGAAAACAAAACTGGCACTGTGGCATGCTGCTGCTGCTCCATCTCCCCATTCTTGAGTTGCTTCCAGGTGTTTTCCAATGGGGGTGGGATTAAAAGGGACAGTTAGGATCTGGCCACTAGGCTGTGTGGTCTCCTGGAGCATCCCCAGGCCTCCTGCAGCCACCTCCTCTGTGATCCTAGATCCTCACAGCCTTCTGTGTCCCAGCCATTCCCTCTACTGGGGACACCTGTGCTCCTGCTGCAGAATGCAGTTCCATCATCATGTATCCCCGATACTCTCCCTGGACTCCGAGTCCAAGCCAGGCCTCCTCTGTGTGCACTGCTGTTACATCCTGTCTTTGTGCACACAGCACTGAGCACCTGTGCAATGAGTCCTTCGGGACAGAGTCCAGGAACTCCTGAGGGAGCTGGGTTCTGGGCCCAGTGGGGAACTCACTGACCTTGGCTGAGTGAATGAGTCAGTGAGACGACAGAGAATGGCAGCCCTGTGCCAGACTCCATCTGCCCGAGGTGGGCATTGGATACCAGTTTGCAGACTTTGGATTCTTGCCCATGCTCAGAAGCTGTTATTTGTCGCCTGTCCCCTGGGGTACTCAAGGATGAGCAGAGTCCAGCCTCTAATCTCGCTTCTCTCCCCTTTTTAATTCACCAGCCATACTGCTTATCTTTAGACAAACACACAAAGATCCTCGCTGATTTCATCTTAAAGGAAAATGCAATGCAGAAAGAACAGAGTGAAGCAGGGAGAAAGCAGTTGTCTGGACAAGGGGCAGAGCCTCACCTAGGGTCCCTTCTATTGGTTAGCGACCCCTCTTTCCCTCGAGACACCTGGATCAGAGGCAGAATTGCTGTAGGCACTGCTCTGTGAAGTGGAGGGTTGGACCCAGTTCTGGTGATGAATTTGGCCTCGTGAGATGCTGACAGTTGTCCATAGGAAGGATTGCCATATGGTTTCATGTTTGTTTTAATGGCAAAACTCCAGGTAGAAATCAAACAGATGAAACACTAACATTTCAAGAAAGAACAGTTTCCCTTTGCTAATGCATAGAAACTTATACACAGATACATCTGCTTAATTTAATTTGCAGGTGAATTTTATTCATAATGGAAAAGGAGTGTCCTTTTGAATATTGACTTTTTTCTTAATTGCTTAACATGTAAAAGGCAATTTCTATACGTCACCTAAGTTATTTCTCACTACAGTATCATGATTTGAACAGAGCAGGCACTATTCTCATTGACCTAGTACAACAGTTTTTCAAAATCTCCCCATTTGTTGGAAGTGGAGGTTGACCTCAGACTCAGTTCTTCTAAATCCAAGCCCTGTGTTCTTTGCTCTGATAATCTTATAATCTGCTGCATTCTTTTGGGAAAGAGTTGGAATAGTCATTTTCTTTACCTAGATATTCTCTATTGGTGATCTTTTTTTAAATCTCTTGGATTAACATAACATTTTCTTTTAAATTTTTTAGTATTTTTAAGGACAATAAAGCAGTAAAAAATTAGAAATGATAGAGAGTTTCACTGAACAAAATAATAGGAATTCAGCAATGGTTGTTATATTGCACATTGGATGTGACATTTTTTAGGTATACGCACGTTACATATATTGTAAGGTATAAAGATGTGTGTCTGTTGATGTATCTCAAAAGTATAAAAAGAAAGTATGTTCAGAAAGAAAATAGGAATACAGCTACATTCACTCAGGAAATAAAGAAAAAGATGGCATGGAATATCTCTCTGTGGCTACCGAGCCCCGTCGTAGATGGAGACTGGGCTGTCTTCTCATGTGGGTAGTAAGCAGGGTGGCTCTGGATTCTGAAGGAAGCCCAAGTGTTGTGTGTGGAGTCCCTGACTGCTCTGCTTGGATGTGACCCTGGGTGAAGCTCCAGTTCCCAGTGCGACGCAAGGGCCACTGCTGTCTGGGTCTGTGAGCTGAGACTCACAGAGGACTGCTCTTCAGTAGTTAGAAGCAGCATCCCACAGGACGTGCAGTCTAAGAACCAGGAAGCCCGATGCCTGCCCACTTCTCTTCCTGGCTGTCTGGCCAGATAGAGTCCACCTCCTTCGAGGGAGAAATCCAAGCCTTGTTTGTCCCCGGAGACACCCCTTTGCCCCCATGCAGTATCCAGCTTCACCACAAACTAATTCTGCAGAATGGGTGAAGGTCCTGTCAGCAGATGGCTACGCAAAGAGCTGAGGGTCCCGGCCCTCTGGGTTTGACTCTCTGCCAATTCCCAGAGTCTGCCCAGCATCCCCTGGGTGCCCTCACCTGTAGTGGAAGGAACAGAATACCTTCTTCACAAGTTCTTGTGAGGAAGAAATGAGACTTGCATGCAAATGTGGTGTCTAGTATGAATTAAGCTTCAATAAGTACTTCTTTTAAAAGTAAATCTTATAATTTTATATCCAATGAGATCATATGTGTAAGCAATGTCCTTCACCTAGGAAACACTACGGAAAAATGAGCTAAAATGTATGTGGATGGATTTCGGTTAGGTCTGTCATCTCAGCCAGAGGAAATATAGCCTATGGTCCCTATAAACTTAGGCAGTTTCTAGCAGCATTTTTGTTATCACACCTGAGGTGAGAGGGGACCAGGGGTGTCGAGAGTGACTGAGCAAAGTTGTACCAGCTGCTCCCAGGTAAGTGTTGCCTTGGGTGTGGCTTCTAGGAAAATTAACCAGACCCTCACTGGGGCTGGGGAAACAAAGATTTCTCTGTGCAGTCGCGATGGAGTCAGTTATGCGCAGCATTTATGGGGTTTGCTGTGCTCTGAGCACTGTGGTGGGTGCTGGAGGACAGGGATTGTCAGTGTTGGCTCCCAGGGGACCTCACAAGGAAATGCGGGGACGATGGTGTGGCAGAGGCTGGGTGGCTGTGAGTTAAGCAAATGGGGCAGTGGTGGGGAATTGAGAATGTATGTGGGTGACTTTTGCAGCAGCCCGTTTGCAAGGGCTGGGGAATGAGATGGCTCTGACACCCACTGGGGAATAAGATGGCTCTGACACCCATTGGGCGTGCAGTGTCTAGGGGAGGCCTTACTGGGGCACTGAGGCAGGTTCTGAATTCAGATCTGAGAGGCGGGCAGGAGCTCAAGGACTCTGTCCAAGATGTGAGTGGAGAAGGACAGCTGGCCTGTGTATACCCTGGGGCAGCACAGAGGGCTGGGACTTGGATCGTGGGGGAGGACTTGGTTCTCCATAGTAGGAAAAGGACAGGTTTTCAAGATTGAGTTTGAAAGAGAAAGAACAGTTCTAATACTAGCTGAGGTAAAACAGTAAGCAGCACAGATGCCCCAAGAGAGGGTCTGGGCATGCCGACCTGCTGGACTAGGCCTGGTGGACCGAAGAGCATGTCCTGTGCTCTGATCCATTCCAGCTATTGTGACAGAGTCTGGGTAGCTCACGAACAACAGTCATTTGTTCCTCAGGGATGTGGATCTGGGAAGTGGAAGATAGAAATTCATAGATGACTGTCTTCCTATAGTAGCTTCATGTGGGAACAGGGCTGAAGGAACTTTATGGAGTCTTCATCCTCAGGGCACCCAAACCACCATGGATTCCATCTTCATGACCTGACTGTCTACCAAAGATGCTACCTCCTGACACCATTGCCTGTGGTTAGGATTTCAGTATGTGAGCTTTGCGGGATACACATGCTGAGGCCATAGCTTCTTGGTACCTGAGACAGGAAGGAAAGCAGTGAAGGATAAAGCAGTTCACTGAGAAAGTTTAGAGCATAAAAGGAAGTCTTGGAGTCTCTGCTGAAGGCATTCTGGGACAGTGGCTCTTAGCACTTAGTAATGACTTTTGGAGAGTGATGACACAGAGCCAGAAACAAATGGACACTTCAGGTGGATTGAAAGTGCCTCTAGCATGAGGCACTTTCTCTACCTGCCTCTAGCATGAGGCAGGTGGCCAGAGAAGGACCGTGACAATGTCTGCAGTGGGTCTGTCCAAGACCCTGGCCTCAGGACAGGGCAGCCAGTATAGGCCAAGAAGTTGGACTGTGGAGATCCATGGGAGGGGGCACTGGCAGGCCTCAGTGACTGGTGGGGTGCATGGGCTTCCTTCCCTACTACCTGCTTCCCTCACAGAGCCCAGTGTGACCTGACTCTGTTTCTCCGCAGAGATGTGTTTCCCCAAGGTCTCCCTGATGAGTATGCCTTTGTCACCACCTTCCGGTTTCGGAAAACATCTAGGAAAGAAGATTGGTACATCTGGCAGGTCATTGACCAGTATGGCATCCCCCAGGTACTGGTGCTGTGTTGCCTCCATGGACTCAGAGCCTCATTTGCTTCTTGCAGGGGATGGCAGTAGCCACAGTATTTTCTCCAGGGCACTGGTGTACAGGCCTTACAGGAGATGCGCCCAGCGGATCCAACATCTTCCAAGGTCAGCTCAGGGCCAGACATTCTGAGAGAAGGAAGGAAACCTAGTGGCCATCCTCTGGGACTCTGGCTAAATAGGAAGTGGCCAGCATTTGTGGTGTCCGGGGACACATGCCTTGTCGGCAGTCTGCCCCACATAGCTTCATGACGTAGCTCTGGAACTGGCACGTCGTGAGCCTCCCGCTTTTGTGGTGTGGGCTCTGTGTGCCTTTGCTTTCATGGCTGGAAAATGGCAAGCAGAGAATGCCTGTGACACATGGTTGGCAGAAGAACGAGATGAAACAATGTCTGGAAAGCAACCAGAACAGTGTCTGACACCAAAGCAGTTTCTCATGAGTGGGTTTCTTTTTATGACCCAAGCAGGGCTTCCTGGGGTTCCGCATGTAGGCTCTAAATGCTGTCTTCAGCTACCTACAGTACATTTTGGCTCTTAAATTCCACAAGGATAATGGTGCAGTAAGGCAAGTCAGATCCCAGCATCGCTGCCACTGCTGCAGCCTGCTGGTTTGAGTTGAAAGCAGCACTGCTTTCCATTCTACACCCTTCTGTGCTCCGTAATCGAGCAGCCATACCTTCATCCTTTCCTTGAAAATTAACTGTATGCAGATGTCATTGAGCTGGATCTGGGGACGGCTGTCTAAATGTTCATGCGGGATTTAAATAAAACCTTGCATATGCATCAAGGAATCTCACCTGTGTCATAGTTAGAGACCGCAAGCTCCCTGCAGACAGCAAGCCTCCTCCCTTGGGGTCTGAGTGAGCACACATTGCTCAGCAACCTACGTGTGCTCCATGTGTGGTGGAGGGGGTGCTCTCTTCCTCTCACCAGTCCTTCTTCTTTCCATCCTCATCAACCCCTGCAGAAGGGGATGAGCTCTTTTCTGCTCACAGAGGCGGAAACTGAGCCTAGAGAGGTTAAGCATTTTGCTTGAGGTTTCACAGGTAACTGTGTACTTGGCTGGCCTGTCCCCATCAGCTCATCCTGCGGAGTCACTCTTTTGTAGCATCCCCCACAAACACACGCATACATTTCTGTAGCATCCCTGGGATGCTACACTGAGAAGCTCATGCATTTCACTGTGACCTGACGAGAGGCCCAATTTTCTGAGTGTGGGAGTCGAGATTCTTCTGCAGAGGACATTTTTCTAGAGAGCAGGCAGCTCACTCTGCTTCCATCCAACTCCGTCTCCAGTTACGTAGGCTTGCTTCCCCACTTTCTCAGGTCTGGTGGGGTGGGATTGGGCACATGCCACCACATTCTTGTGGGTGAGTCCATACCACCCCCATAGTCTGGGTTCTCCTCTTTCATGGCATTTGCAGAGCTGTGTCTCATGCTATCCAGGGACCTCATTGTGCTCAGGCCTTAGCTTTGTCCCCAAGATGCAAGTCACTGCAAGTTAACAGATGGGGCTGCAGACTGGTATTTGGTACCTGGCCAGGAGATGTGTCTGGCTTAGCCAGCCAAGGGCCTTCAGTGGCTCTGAAGCTAGTTAAAACTTCCAGCTGGTCTCACTATAATTCCAATCGCTCTTTCAGTCTCACAAAACTCTCTTACGTGCATAGCCCTTCCAGTCCACTGACCCTTGGATTCATAGTTTAGTGATTACACTTAGCACAGGGCTTAAAGCAACCTGCAAAGAGGCTACGAGACCATTATGCTGTGCAAGAACCTAGAGAATGAAGCTACTGGCTTGCGAGTACATAGCAGGTAGCCCCCTGGCAGAGTCTCAGCCTAGATCTGACCCAGCTTCACCAGCTCGCTCACTCTGAAGTCTCCTCCTCCTGTCCCTACTTGTGTCCGCTCAGGGAATACCTGGTCCTGTCCCCTGCATACAGGTCTCCATCCGACTGGACGGCGAAAATAAGGCGGTGGAGTACAATGCTGTGGGTGCCATGAAGGATGCCGTCAGGGTGGTGTTCCGAGGTCCCCGTGTCAGTGTCCTCTTTGACCGTGACTGGCACAAGCTGGCGTTGAGCATCCAGGCCCAGAACGTCTCCCTGTACATTGACTGTGCACTGGTACAGACGCTGCCCATTGAGGAGAGAGAAAACATAGACATCCAGGGCAAGACAGTGATTGGAAAGCGCCTTTACGACAGTGTGCCCATCGATGTGAGTATTGGGGACTTGGCGTGGAGGAGCTAAGGGACCCTGCTGCCTGCCCACCACCTCTGCATATGCCATATATCAAGCCCCATTCTCTGGGGCTGAGAATGGTGGATGCTGGCTCATAGAGGAGTCCAGATTCTCCACCATTCATTCATACACTCACTCAACCATCAGCCATTTCTTTAGCCACTCAGCATGTGTGTGCTGAGCACGAACCGTGTGCCAGGAACTCTTCTAGCACCGGAGATAGTAGAGCCCGGATATGCAAATGCTTGTCCTTTGATACAAGGGGCTTTTAACATCTTGAGTCATCCTGGAACGAAGGCCCTGTGAGTGCCAAGGGACAGCTTGGGTGAGTTCTATCAAGTGCAAACAGCCACACAACTACAAAATATACCTGTTTTCAGTAACCTCGATTATCCAGGTGTGGGCAGGGATGGAGAAGAAATGTAGCTCCCAGAACCTGTGTCCTGTGAGTGGCAACCTGGTCCTTCCAGCAGCTCACCTGCTGGTTAATTGATCACCTGCTGGTGCCCGCTGCTCTGTGTGAGCCCCAGCCCCCGCACTCCTGGCTGGGAGAGTGCTGGCCCCACGCACAAGTTGCAGCTTCTGTCTTGAGCCCTGTTCTTCTGCCTAGGGTCCAGTAAAAGCTCAGTAAGGTGCGCCAAGTGGGAGAAAGACTTGGGCTTTAAGGGACCTGGGTCTGCTATGGAAGAGACTCACACTGAGGTTGTCCAGTCTAGTTGCATAAGTGTCACAATGCACGGCAGCACTAGGGGTTACGAAGCTCAGAGGAGAAGAACCCAACCTGGGTGAGCAGGGGGAGGGTAGGAAGGGGCATGCAGGATGACTTCCTGGAGGAGGAGCTTGACCTTCCCGTGCAGCCGAGAAGTAGACCAGCTTGTAGTGGGCAGCAGCTCGAGGTGGTGGGAGCATAAGTATGGGGAGAGGAGGCAGGGAACAGGCCAGGCTTAACATGCACAGGCCTTGGGAGCCAGCTGTGACTACTATACTGAGTCCTGCAGCTCAGATTCATAGGAATCCTCCTGTCTCAGACTCCCCAGCCCTGGGATTACAGGCATGCACTACCTTTCAGGGCTGGCATGGCATGCCTGGGGTTTTGGGGCCAGCACAGCATGTGGTATGGCTGATTGAATTCAGGTCCTTGCTCTTGCCAGGCAGGCACTTAGACTGCTGAGCTATCTCCACAGCCCAACCTCTCCTCCTTTAAGTTGTGGGTGTCAGGTATTGTGTCTCAGGGGTGTAAAAGCTGACTGATACACTGATTCCTCAGCAGCCAGAAGTGGAGTGAGAGAAGCATGGGCCCCTGGGTGTGGCTAAGGCAGAGAGGAAGGACACCGAGGATGCACCCGAAACTGGATCCTCCTCCGCACCAGGGAGAAGGGTTGTGTAGGTCATGGTTGGCACCCTGGAAGTCCTGAAAGGGAGCAAGGCTGGGAGAGGCTCTGGGCAGGAAGTGAGTGAGCCTGAGTCCTGGGCAGGGTCTGTCTGAGACCCTGGAGGCTTTCCCCAAGTCCTTAAAGCTCATCCTCTCCCTCCATGTTCCTTCCCAGTTTGACCTGCAGCGGATTGTAATTTACTGCGACTCGAGGCATGCAGAACTTGAGACCTGTTGTGACATCCCATCTGGCCCTGTGAGTGGATTCTTGTACAAAGAGGTTTGGGAGGGTTTGCAAGGAGAACAGAAGTGTCCCTGGCTTTGGAACAAGCAGTCATAGTTTGGGGGCACTGGCTGCTGGAGGGTGGTTTGGTCTGGTTGTCATGCTCGACCCCACTGGCATGGATTTGGGGAGCTGAGTCAGGCCAGGTCCTAGTAGAAGGCTTCTGTCTCTGGGCCTCAATCAAGGTGAGCTGCAGGCTGTGGGTCACATGACAAGACTCAGCTTTCAGGAGAACAGAAGGCTCAGGCTGGTGGAGGTCCTTAAGGAGGGGCTGGGCCTGCAGGCCACAGGTGCTCAGAAGAGGTGGGGCTCCAGTGCCTTGGCTGCGGGACAGGGAGCTCAGGGCCGGCTGCGCTCTGCACGCAGGAGCTGGTCTGCCTCCATCAGGGCCTCACCTCCATCCATTTCGGCCCTTCCTCTCTTACCCTCTACCAAGCTGTAGTTCCAACACTCACTTGCAAGATGGGTGTTACCAGGGAGCCCACTTCTCCGCCATGAGGGCTAAAGTCTGTGTGACAGTTGGCTGGACCAGGCCTCTGGACACAGGGAGCACATCCTAATGGTTCCCATCTCAGCACTCAGGGAATATAGGTACACAGTGGGGGCTGGGATTTGGAGTTAGATGAACCTGGTTGTGGAGAGAAAAAGGAAGTGGGGAATAGTGGTAGACAGTGTGAGAATGTGAAGAGAGCGAAGAGAGGGCTTACCAGATGCGAGATTCAAGCTGGGGACTTTCTCATGCTGTTTTATTAAATCCTTCTGGCCTTGGAAAGAAAACATCCTTGCTTCCATCCCACAGAGTTGAACAGTGAGGCTCAAGGGGATAAAGGGCTGGGCTGTGTAGTGGATGAGGCCATGCGGGGCAGACCCATTGGCCCCGGGGCCTCGCCAGTCAGTAGTCCTACCCACGCACCCAGTGTGCCCTGAGGGCTGCCTTGACTGGAGTCTGCCTTGCCTGCCCAGCTTCTCAGAAGCTTCCCAGATCTTGCCTCTCACGATGGGTGAGCAGCCAGATTCTGACTTCCGGGCCTTTCCTTCCAGTGCCGGGTGACCGTGGTGACAGCACCTCCACCTCTGCCCCCGCAGCCACCTACTCCTGGCAGTGAACAGATTGGGTACTTGAAAACCATCAACTGCTCCTGCCCGCCTGGAGAAAAGGTACTGTGTGAGGTGGGAGTTGCCCATCATGCACCCAGTCTGCACGTCGGGACGCCCTGGGCTCGTGGTGGCTTTCAGCTCACAGCACAGAGTTCTTGTTCTTCTATTTTCCTGTTTCTTGATTCTTGTGCCCAGGGGAAGGGAAGATGCTTAGGCTTGGTGCTAATTAACATTTTTCCCGAAGTTAATGATATAGTCGTGAGGTCTTTCTGGCTCCTACTTCTTATTATCTGCACTCCAATGCAATGAAATCAAGCTAGACTTGGATTATAAATAAGAATCAGAGCAGGACCATGACAGAGGACTTGGAGATGCCCTCCAGGAAGGAACTCCCCTCCCTTCTCAGGGTTGCCTCAATTAGCCACACTGCATAATCTAAATTTACTTACAAGCAATGCTCTGTGTACTTGCTTCTAATTTAAAAAAATGAACACATTTCTTTGAGTACCACTGCCACCATCCATTAGTCAGGATGAAAAATCCCACTGCATGCCTGAGGCTATCTGTTGTTTGATTTTTCTGCAGACCAGTGGTTGTTTATGTATAATAGTTCTTCACTATTTGAGCAGAAAGAACTTAGCAATATGCATGAGGATGAGAAAAGGTAGAATTGTATGAGGAAGGGTTCTGGAAAGTTCTCTTGGACCACTGTCCCCAAGCTCTTGACCTCCAGCGTGCAGCCACACCTGTCTCCCTCCACACCTCCTGGTCAGTGCCCCTGTGCAGGAGGAAGACAGACATGCTGCGAAAGCCAGAGGCACACAGACTGAGAGGTAGGATGATGGATGATGAACTGGAACAGTACAATTCCATGTGTTGTAACACTTTCCACAGGGAAGATGTGCTGGCAAACAGACTCTCCCCTGTCCTCCTTTCCTCTTCTGTGCTACTCTCCACATTTTCCCTCTTTTCTCTTCCTTCTACCTAGAGATCCAGACCTTGGGGAGACAAGGCCCCTCTAAAGAGCTATCAGGCAAGCATGGTTGTTCTATCCTGGCCTAGCTTACCAGAGGCCAAGCTAAAACAGCCAGCCTGGCTGTGTCCCAAGCTGGGATATTTTAAGGCCATAGGTGAGGTTCAGAGCCCTGTTCTGGTGGCTGGATTGGGGGTGAAGCAGACAGAGGAAGATGCTAGAGTGTGTACATATTTGTGCTCAGAGCCAGCTCCTCCTCCAGTCTTGGGCATTTGCAGGTCAGACACAGACTGTGCATCACTTCCACATGCTAGCGAAATCATGGAAGTGGCCATCTAAACTCACAGGCTCCAAAATCCTTATGTTTGATTCAATCTGTGAGTGAGAAGGGGAAGGGTGTGGGAAGGATTACCAGTCAGTGCACACATAGGCGAGGTGGCCCTAGAGCCAGCTCTGCCCAGAGCCAAGCCTGTGCCATGGGTGTGGTCACCAGCAGGGACCTCAAGAGGGACGTCCTGCAGCAAGCAGGCCCCAGCTTACTTTTCCTATCCATCTTCCTACGCTCTGGCACACAAAGTCCCAGCCTCCACCCAATCTTGGTGTGTAAGAACACCTCTCTGCTGCTTCATCCTGCCTTACTGTTAGGCCCTGTGTACCCCTTCCTGGTTGGTCTCCAGGCCCAGCAAGGCCCTTGGAGGGATAATGACTTTCTGTAGAAATCATCTTTTCTTACACTTCAGCTCTTTCATCTGCCTGATGCCTGTTCTTCAAAGACCCAAGCAATCATTTTTTCTGGTGCGGGGGATTGAACTCAGGACCTTGCACTTGCCAGGCAGGCACTTATGCTACTTTGCTACTGAGCTCTTTCCCAAGCCCAGGCAAACAGTCCTTCAGAGCACAGTATCATCCCTGTGATTACTATGTTTTCCTTCCTCCGCTCTTGCCTCTGTCCTCTTCTTCTTTGCTGCCTTCCACCCTTCACCCTCCACCTATTGAATATTTATACAGCACCTACTAGTTCCTGACTCTGAGTTTCTGCCTACCATAAAAATGACTACACTGGACCGAAATATCTCCTTGCTTTAGTTTCCATAAAATTCTAACTCTAGATGACAAAGACAGAATCTTTACATATAAGTAAAGGCGTAGGTAATGGCTGATTTCATGGAAATGTGGGTTAGGGTGTAAAAAGGTGAAGGATGAATGGGCCAATGGCAGATGGGAACAAGAGGTGGAACAACACATCCGCTGGGAGGAACAAGGTCTGGCTGTTTGAGTGCGTCATCCAGCACGTGTAGTCTCAGCTCCGCTCTCTCTGGGTGGCACTGCCAGTTCCCTTTTTCTGCCCGTAGACATCCAGCTTGTGCAGCATGGCTCAGTCTGTGATGGGCTTGGAGGGAGTTAGGAAGTGATCCTCAGACGCTCAGAGTCTGCTCTCTGCCTAAGCAACTGAGTGCTCTGGGGCCGGCCTGCCCTCTGGAGTGGAGCACCAAGCCGGCCTCAGGGCTTCCCAAGCTCAGGAGGGCATTCAGCACTCTGCTCCTGCCTGCCCCTGTAAAGGTCAGGTGAGGAAGCGTTAGTATTACCTCCTGAAGGGGTGGCTTCAAAGCCTCTTCACCTCCATTTCTGCAAAAGCCTAGCACTCAGGGGTCAATGTTCTCCCCCAAATCTTTAGCCACAGCAGACTTTTCTCCAGAGGTTTAAATCTTCTGTTCAGTTTGCAAACATTTCCCTTATGGGAGGCAGTCGACGTGATGTCTTTTGAATCCCTGTGCTTGAAGCCCTGACCAAATACCATGGTGAGCATGGACGCAGATGTCCGAGGTGCTCTGGTGGCCACTACAGAGGGTCGAATGCACACAGAAGGATTTCTCTCCATTTGAAGGTGCCAGTGTCATCTTAAAATTGATTTTAAATGTGTGTTTTCCTGCAGCAGCAGTAAAATGTGTAGCTGTGAGTAGAGCAGTCGTTCGTGGCAAGTGCATGCCTGTAAGTGGGTGTGGTGGCACTTTTCTTCATGAATACCCGATACTTACACATATAAAATTATAGGAATCCCGTTCATCTTCAGGATGCCAATATCCACAGGCTGCATGACTTCAAATCCCACTTTGAAAACCAGAAGTGAAATCTTTTGCCCATTTTCAAAACTGAACATAGCTTACATTTAAAAATTGCAGACAATGGTGTTTTTGCCTTATATTCTAGCACATACCAGACACAGGAACCAATAGCAGGCAACACAATTTTACTTTTAATCAAAGTGATGAAATATCCAGGTAACAATAGCTCCTGGAAAGCATTTTGTTTTTATTTCTTTATGTATATTTGATATGGAAAAGTTCTGGCCACTCATGTCCGTGAGAGGCCAACTGACACTGCAGTAGGCACACACAGGGTGGAGGGACTAAAGCTGGTTAACCCCCCCCAGGTATTTATCCTTTCTACCTCCAAGCCCTGTGCCCAGCGCCCAGCGCCCGGGTGCCACTATGTGATCCTGCTGTCTGCCTCTGTGCTGGGCTTTCTCACCGCCGGGCACCAGTGAGGATGTAGGGCATCTGTTCTTCTGCTCCCACAGGATGGGTTGTGCCCATCCTTTGTCCTCTGACTGGGTCTCTAGAGGCTGCATGTACCATTGCTGTGCAGGTTTGCCTTTCAAGACTGGACTCCCCAACTCCCTGCTCAGCGATTGGCTCACTCCAAGACTGGCTTGTGAGCGTGAAGGTGGATAACCAGCTCCTGAAGGAGAGAAGGAAATAGTTGAAGCAGAGATTTATTGTTTCTTTTGGTGTCTCTTCCTGCAGGGTGAAAAGGGCTTTGATGGCCCCGTGGGACTCCCTGGCCCAAAGGTCAGTACTGGCATGTAGGGTGGCCCTGGAGCCTGAGCACTCTCACTTTGCTTTCGCTGTCAGGACAAGGGTGGGTTAGGGCGCTTTCCTGCCAGCATTTTCATGGGAGCTGATTGAGATACCAGAGTCAGAGCATGGGCCATGAGGTTCTGAGACTCCTCAGAGCCATTTCTCGGTCTAAAATACTGGCAGGAGAGGGGCAAGATTGCTCAGGAGTTTCTTTGCTCCAAGTTTAGCCTTCCACAGTCTTAATTCTGCATTGGCCCCTGCTCGTTGATGTGTTCCAGAAACTTCCAGGATTCGACATTTAAAATTCCTTCAAATTCTGTGAAATCGTTCCACACAAAATGTGTGAAGTGACTAACTGTCTAGAGCCAGCACTCGCTTTTGGGCCTTCATCCTCAGGTCAAGAGCAGCCCTTTATTCCCTCATTCCCTGGGCTACTGCCTTCTTCCATCACTGATCTGATGGCAGAAAATTGACACCCGAAAGGTACCAATCATTGAGGTCATCGAGTGAGAGAGTTCTGCATTACTAAACAGCCCTTGCTTGTGTGGTACTTGAAAGCACTAAGTGTGGTGGTGGAGACAGCCGGGCCTTTTGCTTCCCTGCTGCCCCTTCCTTCCCTCTCCCCAGGTAGAATTCTCTCAGCCACACTCTTTGCTCCCTGCCTCCCTTCTCTGTCTTTCCACCTGTCAGTCACTTTTTCCTTCAGCTCCCTCCTGACCCTTTATCATTAGGTAGCATCTGCTAATGTCCAGGCACTGAGGTTGACACAGGGGCTAGAAGATGGCGTCAAAGGCCTTTGAGTCCCTGGGTCTGGTGGCACCTGCAGACCTGTGCATACACGCACGCAGTGTGAAGGATGTCTTGGCCCCTCCTCCTCCCCCAGGGTGGGCCACTTGGCCTCCTTGTGTGCTTGGCAAAGATGACACCAGCTGCTTCTAGGGGCGAGGCTGGTGGTGGGCAGCCTGTGAGTGCAGAAATTCTGTTGGAGTACCTAACCTGATGTGTGTTGCTGGTTTTCACCCTGCAGGGAGACATGGGAAGCACTGGGCCAGTGGGCGCTCCTGGACCCAAAGGAGAGAAAGGGGACACGGTGAGTTATTTCTAAGTGGCAGGACCTTGGCAAAGGGTTTAAGGCCATCTCCTTTTTATGGGCAGGGGATACCTACTGGATATGGCCTTGGTGGCTGTGTTACCCTGCTGCCCACCTCTTTGAGCCTGCTTTTGTTGTGATTCCCAGTTGGTCATTCTGTGGTGTCTTCTCTCACTTCGCAAGTTCCACATGCTCTTCCCTTTGCCAAGAATGATCTCCCCTCCATTCATCCTACTGTGTCTTGACATCTTTTCCTGCCTCATGGTGGGCCAGGAAAAAAGCTTGGCTAAGTCACGGTTCAGGGTGACACCTGAGAACCTAATACCTGGGAGCTATTTAGCTCCTACAAGACAGGTCACCTTTACATTAGCAGTTGCCTCATCTGTAAAATGGGCATAATAAAAGAAGCTGTCTAGTAGCAGTGTGGAGATTAGATGAATGTGTATGTGCAAACAGCTTGGAACAGGGACAGAAGTGTTGGGACAGCTGTTGCTGGCATCAGCTTCCAGTGACTGTGTGACCTGGGGGAGGTCTCTTAACTGCTGTGAAAGGCGTCCCTCAGCCACCCACTAGCCAAATGGAGAGAATAACAGCTACTCTGTCCGTAAAATGAAATTACATTCAAAGAATGAAAGGGAAAGGCTTATAAAGAAGTATAGAAAGGTATGGCAATGTTTTATATCACATACAATCAATAAAAAGGTAGACCTAAAAGATAAATGGGAATTCTTCAGTTTAAAATTAGAATAACTAAAATTTTAAATCTTCTATAGAGGATCTGTAGTAGATTTGGGCTAGAAGAAGAAATAATCATTCTTGATGCTAATTTATAAGGGATGATGCACTCTGAGGTGCCGAGGGATCAGTGCGAAGTGAACATCTTAGGAATGTGGGACCTACAGTGTACAGCCTGTGTATTCTGGGGGTTCAGAGAAGTGGGGCAGAAGGAGCAGAGACAGATACAAAAAATAGCTGAAGATACTGCTGATTTGGTGAAAAGTGGTAACTTACACATTCCGGATGTTTCATAAACACTTTGTAAGGTAGTGGTTGCATATTTTGACATACACTTAGAAAAATCCTAATCAGAGTCTTGAAGGGCAACTAAAAATTAAAAGCCAGGGCAAGCCAAATAGCTCAGCAGATTAAAGTACCTACAAGCCGGCACAGGGACTGGGGGTTCAATTGCCAGGCCTGCTGTGGCGGCCCTGCCCCCAGCGCATGCTGAGACTGCAATTGAGACTGGGCGTGGTGGCGTGTGCCTGTCATCCCAGCTCTTGGGAGTCTGTGAACAGGCAGATCACTACCAGTCTGATCTAGTAGTGAGACCCTGAACACCCTGTAACCTTTCCCTGAAATACAAACAAAAAA